GCATGGAAGGTACGAGCAAGATAGGTAGGCTGGCCAGAGGACCTGACCTATTAAGGACTATTTTGAAAGGCACCTAGCAAAAGAGGTGCCTAATTAGTTAATTTAAGGCTGAGTACAAAAAATCTAATAAGGATGTTATATAATAGATTTGGCTATATATATATAGTCAAATATTAGACTAACTAAATAGGGAATTATTAGGCTTGGCAACGTTAGGATAAAAGTGAACTTGCTTTCTTGTGCTCTTAATTAAGGGCAATCGTTTTTTTTTAGAAGAGGGGGTAGTGTGATGGATGATGCATTTCCTCTGCTATAGCATAGGAAATATATGTGCTAGCCACATACTTAGGAGGCAACACCTATAACTGACTCGCGATAACAAGCAAACTCCTGCCGTAGGGCGCTTGTTAAAGCGTGTGAGCTATCCAGACGGATTACAAATAAAGAGATTCGCCTTACTCGATTAGGGAAGCCTAAACTTTACTATACAGCAAGAGGCCGGATTAGGAACTATGAATGCTCTATAGCCTATAGTGTAGCCCACGTATACACAGGCCTCACCCGCTGGCGTTAGAGTATATGAAGTCCCGTCGTTGTCTTTAGCTGTGTTGCCCCGATCCTTCACCATACCCATCAGACTCTTGAATGATGTTTTAGCCTGCTTTCCCTTCTCCATGGCCTTGCCAGCAAACATTGAAGAACTAAGAGATCGCGCTGCGCCTCTTTCCGGAGACTCGCTACCCGAAGCGACATATTCTCTCGCTTGCAGTGATGGGGTTGTGTTTGTGCTTGGACCAGACGAGGTCTTCGGAGCTTCAGTGTCACTAATATAGAGGTTAATCTGAATAGTAATACCTTATAATAATAATTGCTATAAGCAGTACTAAATATAATAAGTTTGCAGTCCTTCTTAGTTACTAAACAAATCTAATAATATGCCTATTAAATATCTAGCTTAAAAAAGACTATAGCTTTTTTAAGAAGACTTATAGTCTTATTAATCTAAGGGATAACGTAGTTATTCTTCTTTATAATAGCGTTTAAATCCCTAAAATTAATACAGAAATAGAGTCTCTTTTAGGGTTTCTGTACTAGAAGAATTAGTAATATAAATAAGATAATACTTAGTTTAATAAACCCTTTCTTAAGATGCTTTTTAAGAGCTCTTCTAGGCTTATTCTATATAGAGACTGTGTCTATAGCAGCTTAGCACCTGCTTCTAATTTAATCTTATAGTCGTACTCTTCCCTGTGCTCTAGAAGAGTATTAGAAGCCTCCTTTAAGAAGACATTTGCAAATTCTTGAAATTTTATTAGAAGAACCTCCTTTAGGTTTAGTTTTGGCTAGATCTGTTTTTTAATATGTTTATTTATATTCTTTATTATAATAATAAATATTTTTATACTAGAGGTAATTAATAATTATATAAATATTATAATGCTTATAAGCTTAGTGCTATACTAGGCTGCCCTAGTCTCTTTAACCTTCCTTTTATAGGTGATAGCTATAGTTATCCTGCTACCTAAAGTCTTCTTTACCTTAATAAGGTATAGAGATTACAAAATAGCTAGAGCTATTTTAGAACGCTTAAGAATCTTTGTCACCTATAATAGTAATGTCTTAATAACTTCTTTATTAGTTCTTTCTTTGCTACTTACTTCTTAGTCTTAGACTTATTACTTTAACTCTTATAGTTTTGCTAAAATATAAGTTGCTCTTTATAATTATAATCCCTTACAAACTTTACTAATAAATCCTTAAGATCTAGAATATAGTTATATAGCCTTATCTACTTCTTCCCTAAGATTATAAAGTATATAGTCTTTATTATATAAAAGATCTATAATTCTTACTAGTATTTACTAATATATATAAGTAAATAAAGGGCTTAAGAGATAAATTAATAGATCTTACTAGCAAAATTAGAGATAGAAATAGGTTTGACTAGATTTACTATATTAATTTATAACCTTTTATAAAGTTGTTTTACTAATTAATAGTTTATGATTATACTTAATTAATATCCTGTATTTAATAATACTAATATTATTAATTTTTTTCTTTCTTTTTTAATACTAATATTAACTAGAAATAGAGCTTTAAAATTACTCTTTACTACTATAATAAGGATCCCTATAGCTTCTTTATTAGTTACATTACTAGGCCTGCTTATAACGTCTTAGTAGCAGGTAGCTCTTTTCCTAATTACTCTTGTACCTAAGGGCAATTCTTTACGTAATATCCTATTTTCTTGCAACAGTAGCACCTTATTATAGACACATTTCTCAGAAGTTATGGCTTAGCTACTAGCCTCTCCTCCTTTGCTATTAATTCGCTAATAGATTAATAGGTGCTAGAAACTAAAGGTTTTGCTAGCGTGCTAGCGCTAGCTGCTAGTTTATTTAAGATAATATGTCGACTATTTATATCAGCGTATATTAGATCTGTGATCATCTCCTAAATTAACATATATCTGCAAAGAATAATTACTTACTTCAGATCATCTCGAACCTTGTCTCGAAGGTCTATGATCTAATCCTCTTCTCAGACCTCTGCTTCACGAGAAAGCCGTCAGAAATCCCCTAAGAATATAGCGAGATCCTGCTGCCTTTGCTATAAGTAATAATACTCCTTACGAGCAGTCTCTTATCGAAACAGAGAATCGAATCAAGTTGAAAGGTCTGCGAATATATCTGAAATCTAGGCCCTCTTAAAGTCCTTAAAATATGACCTAAGCAATTCCTGAGCGTCGCCGTCTATACGTGATTATACATAGGCGACCTTAGATAGCTCTGTCAGAAAGAGCGCTGCGTTAACCATAAACTTCATCTTTATAGCTGACCACCAAGAGCATGGCTTCGAAGGAGGTCCATCCTCAAAAATCTCTGGGTGGGGCAGCTTCTCTGTCTTTATACTAAGCACTGTCAAGGGGCTCAGAGTCGCTTCTAACGAGGCCTGCCTTTAAGGCAGCGACTCTCGTTCCGTTGGAGTCCCTGATGGAGATTCCACTCGAACTTGCGGCTTTGGAGTCACTGTAATCTTGTCGCAGAGATTCTGGATAATCTCCTCCTTGTCACAGAGTCGATCCTTTAGAGCCTTAATCTCAATGCTAGTGCCTCCATTAAGGTCTTGGTATCTTTCTTCTCAAGTTTCCTTCTCCTGGAGGACTTCTTGATGCTCAGCCTCCTTCTTTAGACGGAGGGCTGTCAGCGGAAGACGAAGTTCTCCGACTACCGCAACTGTTCGCCACGCGCTATTACTTAGAAACGCATACACTCACAAATGCTGCAGTTAGCATTGCAACGCTGATTTATGATCTCCTTCTAGGTGATTCTATAGCTTGCCTCTTCTATGCGTATATATAGCGTCGCGGAGATTCTGGATAATCTCCTCTTTGTCGCGGAGTTAATTCTTTAGAGCCTCAAGCTCTATGCTGGTGCCTCCGTCAAGGTCTTGGTATCTTTCTTCCTAAGTTTCCTTCTCTTAGAGGGCTTCTTGATGCTCATATGGCATACTTCTAACAAGGGCTTTCTCTTCCTTATAGGCAGCTGCTAATATTAGTACAAACGCCGCTGCGTGTGTCTGATTCTCGTTGACCAGTGCCATGAAGGCTGGAAGAGCTGATGGATCATCCGTCGCTCTCTCCGCGTATTCGATCAATGCGCGCAGGGCGTCTTAATCCGTAGGAGGGGCTTCGTCTAGGCTCCGTCTCTAGTTGCTCAAGGAAGGATAGCGAACTTCGCCACTCTCCCTTCTCTCTGTTTGATCACGAACCATCTTGACTCAATAGTTCTCAAACCTTCGTACGGTACAGGGTGTTTGTATCGAACGGACCTTGCGTTACTCCCGGAGCAACGACTTTCTCACACAGTCAAATAACCCCAGATGGGTTCTCCAATGGCTGTGCTAC